CAGGTCCGGATGGGCTACGGATGCCGAGCTTTCAGACGCGACCTACCGTCTTCTTACACGCCGATTCCGTATCCTCGATTTCCATCCTACGAACGAACTGCGAAAACTCGAAACAACGGCTCCCTCCCCTTTCGTCTCTCCCTCCATTGTTGTCCGATCGCGAAACAAATTTCATCGTTTGGTCGTCATCTGGTCAAATTGCTGACAGTAGAAACGCTAAACATCGATCCGACAACCACGAAACCGAACACGCGCGTTTTAATCGTTTAAACGCAAACCAACCACCGACCAATCGGTCTTAAGACGAAATCGAGACAGAACGATCCCTCAGGCACGGTTCCCCGAGACCGAGAAAGAAAGAAAGAGAAATTGTCAGCCTCTTCTATCTTCCAATTCCAATTTTTCTCGATCCTTTTTCTTCACCTGCAGATAACGAGCGGAACGATCAAAGAATCCTTGGCGACGCGACGCTCGCACGTCCGCCATTTCACTTGATTGCCTTTTAATTATCGTTTACCTCGATTTGCTCGGTCGAATCACGAACGTAGTCGTCGTCTCGTTTGTTCGTCGTTGCTTGTCGTTATTCTTATTTCAATTTCTCGATTCTCGGCGAATTCCTACAGCCGTAAAGAGTAATGGTTGAAATCATATCAAACGAACGCAAACAGCGAACGTTTAACTCTGTCGGTAGCCAGAAGAGCGCAGCAGTAATCAGCGACAGTCCCAGACGAATACAATCGCTCAGCCTAATAATCGTCGACGGTCAAACGTCACTCTACAATCTATCAATGTATCTATATTTTAATGATCTGCGATCGAACGATCGAAACGCAGCCTAGCTTTTCTTCGCTCGATCGAAGCAAACGCTGCGCACTTTCCTTGCCTTTTCTCGCGCCTCTCGGCCGTGAACGACGGGAATGGGCGTGAAAGCAAACAGAAGGGTGAAACGAAGGGGAAAAGAAGGAGGCAGAAGATGAGCGAGCAACGTGGGTGGACAATCCCCGGGTTCTCTCGAGAGCAGAAGGTGATACGGAGGCACGGTCGAGCGATCGTGGCCGAGAATAGGAGGGATGGAAGCAGACTTTGGTGGGAGCGCGATTCTATTCAGAGCGGGGATAGAATCTGCCACGGTGGGGATGCCGATGAACACCGCGGTGAGTGACGCAAGAGGGGTGCGAAAGGAGTCGAGGAACAAACCTGGTGGCAGCAATCACCATGAGTGGGCGACGTGCGCGCTCCTCTGGATCTTCTCCTCTCTTTTTGTCTCGTCTCTTCTCCTCGCTTCGCCTCGTCTCGCCTCGTCTTGTCTCTCCACTCTTGGGTTATCAGCCTGATGAACCACTCGCCGACCTTTTCCCGTCAATCGCCTCTCGCTATCTATTTCTCTCTTGCTCCTGTTCTCTGCCTATTTCCTATCCCCTCGCCCTTTTCCGCTACCTCTGGATCACTCTTAGTGCTCGGTTCTCGTACGTGTTCGTATCCCCGTGTCCGTGGCCTCCTGCACGCAACCGCATCACCGGACGACAGCCTGCATCGCGAGGGTTGAGAAACTTTATCACCAGCCATTCCTCTTCTTATATCTGCCGCACACACACACACACACACACACACACGTACTCTGTGTACACATACGTGCGTGTTTACTTACGTAGCACGATCGCGACCTTACGATTTTCATCGGTGCGAAACGAAATTCGTAGGCATCGACGCGAGATTCAGAAGAATAGGAGAAAGGCGGAAGCGAAACAAGATTGCCAGTGGACCGCGCGCATTTTAACCGCGGGAAATGTAACGATACCAACCACTTAAGTCGAACGTCTGCTCAAAGTTTTGCCATATGACGCTACCGATCGAGTAAGCTCGCTCACGAGGGGCTGGTAACGATGGCGGAGGGGGACGCAATGTTACCTCTGCGACATGCGGTACCGTCGTATAGACGGAGACCAAACAATTTGTATTAAAATGAGCGTGCTACCCTCGGCAACAACGGCGAGCGATTTTGTAAAAACGATTTGAGAGAAAAAAAGAAAGGAACAGAAAAAGAAGAAAGAAAAGAAAGTACAACAGACGTACGAGCATGGTGAACAAGTACGATTCAGTCACTTTTCACACTTCTCAGCACGATTCTTGCTTTCTTTACTTTATCCGTATTCCAGTTAATATCTGTTCCTTTACACTTTGCGTCACCGCCAGCCATTTCTTCCACTTGAACCGCAAATTTCAAATGCTTATACCTGTAAGCAATCGTACCGCGGTTGTTAATTATTCACCGAAAATAAAGATGGTGCGTATCGTTCTGGATTGCGATCAGAAACTTGTCGTCTCGTCTTGAATAGCGGACGATTTATTCGAACATCGATGAGCGTAACGGCGAGTAATGGCTGGACATAGATGAAACACTTAGGTTTATATCATCGATTATGGCAGACACGCGTAAAGAAACCGTACGCTCGACTTTCCAGTCGCTTTAGAGTCGCGTGTCATTTGCGAGAGTTACGAGCTCGACAAGCCTCGTGCTCGCGAGAAAAACGAAACACGATACAAAACGATTCGTCCGGTTTCAGCGGCGGGTCGTTCGCTCGCCCTCGCTCCCCGATCCATCGAGATCAGGCTCATCGAGGTATGCCTGCGGCCCCCCCGTGGTTCGCTTCCATCGAAAATCCAGATCTGGTTGGTGACGACTACGACGACCAGTTCGTTGTCAACCGGACATGTTAAACGAGTACGGGTCCTTTGTTAAAGATAGAAGAGAAAGAAGTCGAAATGCGATGCGCGCGTGTACGCGCGTGATCACCAACGGTGATCAATCACCTTCAAACCGTGCTCGTACAATGCGTGTCGTGCCACCAGAATCTGGCCGCTTGAGAGAGCTATTGTTGCCACCCACGTTGTCTCTCGACTTCTGCTTACCGCTCGTTCTAACCACGACGGCCTCTCGTTTGCCAAAACATCCCCAAAGATCCAATACTCTTGATTGCTCCGCCCTCCTCTCTTCACCCTCCTCTCTTCACCTTCGCAATACCTGCAGAGGTCTTCGTATTTTCTCTCGATTGGCTATCGACCGTTCTCCTTGCACGATCCAATCACTCGATAACGCTTCCGAGCGATTCTAAATACACACAATCGTTACTCCGCGGCCGTCATAAATCGCGTCGATATAACCGATCGGAAATCTAAATCTCGAACAAACTGGTATAAATACGTGGGAAACGCTCCCACGAGAGTGTACCCTTCTCCACCTGATGTGTGTCTAATTTCGAGAGGGGAAGAGAGAAAGAGAGAAAGAGAGAGAGAGAGATAATCCTCCGAGAATCGAGGAGCAAGAATCGGAAGCCGAATTTTCAAGATTTCCACTGATCAGCTCGGAATGAAACGGACGACCGTCGTAAAAGTAGAAACGAATACGCGTTATCGGATCGGTTCGATCGAGAAGAAAAGAAAAGGGGGAATTTTGCACGATATCCTTTATACCCTTCCGCAACTATATTCCACGCTCGCACAAAAAGGTTTTCCCTTCGTTTCTCGGTTATCGAGGGAGAGGATGCGATCCAACTTGATAAGACGGAGTTGTAATCTCGCTGCTACTGGCATCTTGAAACAGCCGTTGCAGACGTATCAAAATATTCAAGCTCTGCATAATTTCTCGTGACAAGTGACAGGCTAAAAGCTGTCCCTCCCCCGAGTCGAATCCGGCCAAATGTCTGGTTTAGTTTAAAACTAGATTTTAGACGTTGGATTCTCTTAAAAGCAACATTGTCTGTCGGCTAGAAAAGAGAGCAAGGGACACGTGCCACTTATCCACCCGTGTTATCGCGCAACTTATGGTTGCTTATGGATACCAGAAGCTGAACACTCGAGCATGTACTTGTGCATATATAGCGTCGAGATGATTTTCAGACGCGTATGCACGCATACACGCGCATCACTTGAAGTCGGCTTTTCGTTCGTTTCCAAGCGATCTGCGAAGACTTTACAAGATTGCCCGCTGAACAATATCAAAAGCAACGTATGGTTCGTATATTTTACATCATCCTGTCATTGTTTGTTGCTTGTTCAAAAATCTCCTGCTCAAACTCGAAGAGTTTTCTAACTAATTTTCTATGGATATATGCAAGATAATATGGCCCCTTATTGTAACGAATTAACTGTAATAATAATCATCCGTATCGTGAAAAATCGATGGAAGAAGAGACGAGTAAAAGAAAAACATCACGCGAAACATGAAGCGGTACAAAGCGACATGAAAGCAGAAGAGAAAGAATAGATACTGGCATAGACAGTGACGAGCAGGGACGATTTAGACTACTATATCTATCGGACACCGTGTAAAAAATCGCATAAACTTAAACGTGCTTGTCGGAATTGACCGATCATCGAACCTTAATAATGTGAATTTCAATTAATCGACAGACGAATTTCTCGATGGGAGAATGAAGAAGTAGAATTCGCTTTCTCATGGATCCGAGAATCGATTTGAAATGATTAGCGGTAATGTCAAGGGAGTATAGAGGCACGTTCGTGATGAGTCCGTGACTGGCGTACCTTCTGCGCCCCGATGTGGTTAAGTTGATCCAATACACCAATACGTAAGAACAAATCCACCTAATTGAAGTAACCACAGAGCACAACGCGCTACGTTATACAGTAATGCAATTGAGTCAAGCAAAAGTAGACAGATCTGCACAAGTATAGAAAGAGAGATAGAGACACAGAGAGAAAGAAGAAAAAGAAACAAAGAAAAAAATAGAAAATGAGAGGAGAAGTCTCGATGATTCACGATGGACTATATCGACGGTACGATAGTATTTTCGTTTAGAAAATGAATGTTAAGCTTCTGCTTTTTGGCGTCCAATATTTCCGTTTAAATTTACCAATACGAGCCTCGGATATTAGAAAATGCGCAGTGACACGTAATGACAATAAAACGAATAAACAATACTAATACATACTTTCAAATTAAAAATAATGAGAAATGGGAGAAATGTGGAATGAGAAAATAATTTGTTATGCATAGTATAAATATATTTATACGAATATTTTTATAATGCGATTGTGTCTAGATATCGCGACACATGTAATGCTAATAAATGCCACCTTTTAACTGGATACAGAATGTAAAAATTGATCGATGATTTCTCTATACGTTCACGCATCGTTCCACACGACTTTATTAGCCATTCAAAAACTTTTTGATCATGCAAGAACTGTATTTCAGAAGTTTTTCTCACACATATCCAGTTCACTTATCGTAAGAAATTCATCAGAAAAAAAAAAACAAGGCATTGATTTTTCGTTTATCAAATATTACAATATTTGTTGAAATAAATAATGCGTAAATATGCGATTGCTAAGAAACGAACTCGATCAACTATGATCTTCGTTTTCATCAAAAGTTTTATATATATATGTATACATGCAATCATTTTTATAAAATTTTAATATCGCATCTGACATAGTATAGTTGACATTACCAGCAAATATATTCTTTGAAATCTTATAAAATATAAATGCATGTTATTATTATCATCTTTTTCGTCGTTTTAATACATCGTATGTGCATTTATGACGAACACTGATATGTACAAAATTAGATGCAAAAAGTTTTGTCAAAACAAATGCGCTACGATAAAAACAATTTACGTGATGTAGCTGCCGTTTCGACTTTTGAAAAATTTAAATGCATTCACCAAAGAAAATAATTATATCAAAGGTGCCTTTACAATATAACTATAATGTATTGTACGTCTATACATTAATTGCAAAGTTTCTATCCTTGATTTTACTATAAACGTGTAATTTAATTTAGTATACTGAAATCTAGTATACTAAATTAATCTAGTTTGTTTTTTTTCCCAAAATCTTTGACCCTTTATATGTTCAAGAGAATGCTTTATTCTACACTGTGACTCGTTTAACTGGTGAATGTATAAAACACAAAAAATTGGTAGCACCAATTGTTCTGATAAAAGTAGTAAAGAAATTTTGAACGACCAAATAGTTTTCAAAATAAAACTTGAGTAACTAGAAAAATATTCATGTATTATGCATTACAAGTTATATTTGATTTTAGATGAAACTGAATTCAATCTCGTGAAACTAATTGAAATTTTTAATCAATATCTGTTATGTGGAATGTGATCGATATTATAATACGATATTATGAAAAAAATTCAATTGAAATTGTCGCGTTGCGGTATTAGCGGCTGTTGATTAATTTTAGAAGATTAATATTTCTCCTCAAAAAGGAATCACCATATATGCACGATTTCGAAGTTTCTAACAATGCCTGCTGTATACTACGCCGCTCATTATTATACTTTGTTCCCCTTCTGAATGCATGTTCCTTTTTTTATAAGAGTATGCACTTCCTCTTCTTTACTGGCTCTGGAGGTTCCAATGCAGCTAAAATAGCTTCATCAAATACGTTCTTCAAACCTTTCTACAACATTTAAAACTCTATCGTTATTATCTGAATATTACATCCTGGAAATGTTTCCTTGTATTTAATACACTTACCTGCGTAAGAGCACTACATTCTACATATTTTACTGCTTTCAATTCCTTGGCAAGTTTTTCTCCTTGTTCTGCCGATATCGGTTTTTGCTTATTCTTTGCCAATTTTTCTATAGTAGCAACATCATCTCTCAGATCAATTTGAGTACCAACCAGCAAAAATGGAGTTCTTGGACAATGATGCGTAATCTCTGGTACCCACTGAAATAAAATAACATTTTCATCAATCATGTTATATGATAAACTTTATTTCAACAGCATTGTAATAATAAAAAAATTAAATTAAACGTAACCTTTTCTTTAACATTTTCGAAAGATGATGGTGACACTACTGAAAAGCAAACGAGAAATACATCTGTTTGTGGATAACTTAGAGGCCTTAGTCTATCATAATCTTCTTGACCTATAACATAAAATAGTATTTATATATTACTCATATAAAAGAAAAATTGCTATTATAAATTTACCAGCAGTATCAAACAGTCCTAATGTATACGGATCACCACCAATCATTACTGTCACTGCATAGTTGTCAAAAACTGTTGGTACATATTCAGATGGAAATTTGTTGGTCGTGTATGAAATCAAAAGACAAGTTTTACCCACAGCTCCATCCCCTACCACAACACATTTTATTGTCTGCATATTGATATTTCTCGTATTATCTAAAATTGCTGTATTAAATACATGTTTAAAATTAATACAATGGACGTAGACATTTCTAATAATATTATATACATGTACGTCAATATGACAGTAACAAACAAAATGCAAAGTCACTTTTAAAATTCTTTAACACTTTATTAATAATTGGTAAATTGATTTACATTTTTTTTATATTTAACGCTATACGAAATATATGAATTTTATAAAATTTTTCGAATGAATCATATCGAGATCAGTTTGTCCTTAACCTTCAAATATACTGAAATCCAATGTAAAGGCTAAATTATTTTAAATTACATTATTATTCACCACAATAATCATGCTATTACTTTCTATATTTATATTCTATATTTCCTATAATACTATTAACTTATAGAAAGAAAATTGTGCTGATTTATCGTACAGAAAAATAGAAATAGATTACCTACAATTATACGCCTGTCATTAAAGGTTAAAATCGTAACTCATACTTTCAAATTGCAATGAAGAATTATACACTTTGGAATATATTGGAAAAAATGTGCAAAAAACGTCTCCACGCTTCAACACCATTAATCGCGATATCTATTTCTCCGTAGTTTGTATTTATCATGAAATATGCATTTCTTTTGACATGCATTCATCACAAATGCCACTTGCATGTGTATAAGTCTGATAGTTAATATGTATGATAACGAATACTATAAAAAATATTTAATATCAAACAACATTTATAATACAAAAACAAGTATAATAATAATAAAATATCATTTTTTATGACGTTGTTTTAAAAATTGGCAACTGAAAGAAATACGGTGATCACTAATAGAATGCTTGGGACCAACAAATTGATTACAAATTATTTGTTTTATACAAAATTTTTTATTTTAAGAAATATTCGCACTACATTTAATAAAAAATCATCAAATATAAGAGTATTATAGTGATCATTGCAATAATCTCATATATATATATATATAATATGTTAAACATAAATAGAAAATTATTATTTTTTGCTAATATAAAAATACATAACAAATCTCTCAGCATTAAAATGTATTCCTTTCACGATTCCTTTATCTTCTACGGACGTGCGTTTCGTTATTAGATTTTCTATATTATATAACTATGTACTTATTATCTTGCATCAGGTTTAGAAAATGGTTGTAATGATCCTGGTTGTACCCATGATAATCCAAGTGCTTTACTTTCTTCTTCTTCCTGTATCAGATATTGTATAATCACAGTTAGTAAGAAATTAAATAAAAATATTATGAATTTTAAACTTATTAAATCTGAATTATATATATTTCCCATACCTTAGGTTGTAAAATTTCTTTCTTGATAGAATTGTGAATCTCCTCAACATACGGACTAAAAGTAATATAGTGGGGATCATCCACTGTAGGTGCATTATAAACTTTGTTTAAACTTTCTCTCACACATTTTTTTACACGATCTCGGAATATTTCAAAATTGTTCTCTAATCTGTAATACAAACATATTATATTGTATACATGAAATATAAATATTAACATACATTTACAGTACTTGTTGATTGTATACTTCTTCTTAAATACTTACAAATTCGATGCTTCATGATTTACAGAATTCATCTTAATATCTACTTTAGTGAGGATTTTTGTTATAAATTGTATCAACTGCCAAATTCTGTTACTTTTTCTCCATTCAGGAAATTCCCATGATGTATTTAATTCTCCAGACTCAGGCTCGATTAAAGGATGAAAAATTGGAGTTTGAAATGTAACTTTCTACAATTTGTTCAAGATATAATTAATATAATTTTACAATTGAAATATCATATGTTTGGAAGAATAATCTTACAGGGCATCCTCCATCTGGAAAATTTTGTGGCAGTGTAATATTAAATCTGAAGATTCCTCCTTGATAGATTCCTTGTCGCACAAACTGAACCCCGAACCATACTAACACAAAATAAATTTATAACAGTTTAATAAAATATTTATAAATGTCTAATAAATGCATACAAGAAAATGTGACAAACAATAAATCATGCACATATTTACATGTAAACCATTATATAAGACCAAGTCAGGATAAGCAAGACCTAAGAATCAATTCATGTTTGACTTAAATAACTTGAATGCATAATTCAATTTTCTTCTACATAAGATGCATTGGAAAAAAAATTAAGTTTTGTTCATCTAAACTACTTACTCAGAGAATTTTGAGCAGATGGTATGACATAAATACCCTTTAAATCTTGTGAACATAACATGCTACTGTTTAAAAAATAAAAAGACTGATTTTTATTCATTGCAAATATTAGAAATACTAATTAACAATATAGAAATGAACTTACTATTCTGATAAAATGTTGTATTCCTGTAAATATACTGTATATTCTTTACTAGTTTGCGATGCAATTGGCCTGTCAATCATTTTCACAGACATACTTAATTGAGAATCTCCGTTTGTGTTCAAAGGTAATAATTTTCTAAACGAACCTTGTCTTTTCAAGTTATCGTTCTTATTAGCGTCATTCTAATATCATATAAAATCAATTTTTACTTTCAAATATCTCCATTTATTTCCTAGATTAAAAGAACTCTTTTCTTCCTTACCTTTATTCCTGACATCTTGACAAGAATTGGATAATTTGTCCAGTACAATCGACGTCAAAAATTTTAAATAACAAAAATATATTCTATTATATCACAAATTTAATCAGATAACTTGTTATCATTCATTTCATATCTGACTTTTCATTTATGATCATTTTCTTTGAAATGTTCCATCTTTCAACGTACATACACATGTAAATAACCATAAACGAGTAAGATCATAGATCTTACGCTCAATATGTATACCTTTTTATATTATCATATGATTAAAGTAAAATAAAATTCGAAATTAGGGAAAATTTTGACGAAAAAAAGTAAACATCATCATATAGTGTCATCACAATTGTCTATTCAAGATAAGAAAGGAATTTTATTTAATAAATATCACATTGTAAAAATATACTTATACCATTGACTAAAATAAAAATAGACTGAACGTGGAATCGGACTTTGTGTCTTATAATCTGAAATATCGACCAGGAAAAAATCACTAGTTTTATAACGTATTCTACACCTATTAACATATTTTTTCGGCCACGTTTTCGGGACACTCTATGTCCCGTTACCATTTTCGTGTCACATTCTGTCGTACCGATTCAGGCAGGTTTTGCACCGCAGCACTACTACTGATGAGAATTAAAACCAAAAATTTAAATTAATAAAAATTAAAACCAAACATTTAAAATGTGGACAGTGTTACCAGATTCGTTTCGAGAATTATTTATTGAATTGAACGTGACGGTACTTTATCAATGAAGTAAAATTGTAAAATTTTACCTAAAACCTATAAAATTATTGATTACTGTAATAGAAAAAGTGTTTTTGGAAGTATTGACAGACTATCACCTGTTGCTCATCACTGACTTTACCTAAAGATTGAGCAGGGAAAATAGTCATTATAAGTTGAACCTTCATCGTGTGCACATCGATTAAACTTTCAAAGTGAATTTTTAAATAATATTTCTGAATATTCTAATTGTTTAAACATTTAACATTTCTAATAATTTACTTGTAACGATTGAACAATAAATTCTCTTCTTTAACATTCCTAAGTACTATTTAAAATTTTTAATGAACCATTTGTAATAATCGCGTTACTAATACATTTCTAAGAAATTTTAATTAACTGTTTCGCGTTATTAACGATCTAAAGATCAGATCAATTTCGATCGATACGGAAATGGAAGCTCGGTACAAATCGAAATTTCGTCGCATACGCATCAACGAAATTCTAAAAGTGAATTATTAAATAATATTTCCAAATATTCTAATGCTTAAACTTTATCTAGTATTTGAAAGTAAAGTGTTAAAAGTATTGAAAGTGATAAATATGAGTTAAAGTGAACTTATGGACTGTGTTCCAATGTCTACATTGCTACAGTGAAGAAAAGAGAGTCCGAGAATGTTTGAAATATTCAAAAAATGTTCAGAGACCACGGATGCACTCAAGTGTTACGTAAATTTTAGTTTCTAATCCCGAATTCAACGATCGGTAAGTCACAAGGTTTTGTTTCTTTGATATTTAGTTAATACTTGATCTGAAATTGAATACGAATGCAACTGCCATGCGTCGCACAGGATATATTTTGATAGTTACCACCCTTTAGTAATTACAGTAATATATTGTATCTTTCTCCATGTACATACGTAATATTAGTTTACTATACTACTATTGATATTTAAATAATATTAAATACTTCAACTACTTTTACTTATAATTACAAAAATAATTTTATCTTTTACTACTACTTTGTTAACAAGAATATTTATTTCAATGCTTTAAATTAATCATTACATAGCGTTCGAATACCGTTTTTTTGTCTTTTAAAAGAATTGCTTAAATTCGATACCAGTATACGTCGTGACTCGTGTGATGGGTATATATACATAAAACAGCATGATTTAAAACAAACTAAAATAAGACCCGTGCGTAGTCACCTCCACGTGGTGGGTCTTGGTAATTGGTATCATTTTCCAAATATTAACATCTCGGAGTATTATTATTTCTAAAGTGAATCAAATTTCGATTCCTCCGAATGTTACTATTTGCAAAATGATATCAAGCGAAGAACTACGCAAACAATAGATAAAGAATAAGTCAATAAGAAAACTAGTAGAACTAAACTATTAGAATCGCGGTGGCAACGTAGAACAACGTGGGATACCGTGAGATATCGTAGTATCGTGGAATGCATGTGATTTAATACCAACTTGCACCAAGTATTAGACATAAGATAGATTAGATCTTGTCACGGAGTCACATACGCAAGGTAAGACCTAATAATTGATCATATCAGAGCTAATTCGAAAAATTTTTAAACGGCAATATCGTTGGAACGAGGAGGAATTTCTGGTTAAAAAATCGAGTTCTGTATCAGCAGAGAATGATACCCGAAGGTGGTACAACGTAATCGGCCGCTGAGCCGTTCTCCTGATACATGAGTAAGTCGAAAAATTCCTAAACCGAAATATCTTTTTGAACAAGAAGGAATCGCTCGACGAAAATTCGCCTTATGTATCAGGAGAACATGATAATCGAAAAGGTGGCAAGACATAGTCGGCCGATGAGGCGCTCCCCTGATACAGGTAAGTCGAAAAAAATTTAAACCGAAATATCTTTTGAATGAGATGGAATTGCTGGACGAAAATTCGCCGTATGTACCAGGAGAACATGATACTCGAAAAGGTGGAACGACATAGTCGGCCGTTGAGGCGTTCCCCTGATACACAGGTAAGTCGAAAAATATTTAAACCGAAATATCTTTTGAATGAGCTGGAATTGCTGGACGAAAATTCGCCGTATGTATCAGGAGAACATGATACTCGAAGAGGTGGCACGACAAAGTCGGCCGTTGAGCCGTTCTCCTGATACACAGGCAAGTCGAAAAATTTTTAAACCATAATATCATTTAAACGAGAGCGAATAGTTGGTCGAAAATTTGCCTCATGTATCAGGAGAACATGATACTCGAAGAGGTGGCACGACATTGTCGGCCGTTGAGCCGTTCTCCTGATACACACGTAAGTCGAAAAATTTTTGAACCAAAATATCGTTTCAACCAGAAGGAATCGCAGCGCGAAGATTCGCCATATGTATCCGGAGAACATGACACTCGAGGAGGTGTCACGACATAGTCGGCCTTGGAGCCGTTCTCCTGATACATAGGTAAGTCGAAAAATATTTAAACCAAAATATCATTTAAACGAAAGCGAATATATGGGCGGAAATTCGCCATATGTATCAGGAGAACATGATACTCGAAGAGGTGGCACGACATAGTCAGCCGTTGAGCCGATGTCCTGATACATAGATAAGTCGAAAAATGTTTAAACCAAAATATCATTAAAACGAAAGCTAATATCTGGGCGGAAATTCGCCACATGTAACAGGAGAACATGATATCCGAAGAGGTGGCACGACATAGTCGGCCGTTGAGCTGTTCCCCTGATACACAGACATGCCGAAAAATATTTAAACCATAACATCATTTAAACGAGAGCCAATAGCTGCGCGAAAATTCGCCTTATCTATCAGGACAACATGATACTCGAAGAGGTGGCACGACGTAGTCGGCTGTTGAGCCGTTCTCCTGATACATAGGTAAGTCGAAAAATGTTTTAACCAAAATATCATTTAAACGAGAGCGAATAGCTAGTCGAAAATTCGCCTTATGTGTCAGGAGAACATGATACTCGAAGAGGTGGCACGATATAGTCGGCCGTTGAGCCGGGCTCCTGATACACAGATAAGTTGAAAAATTTTAGAACCAAAATATCGTTTCAGCGAGAAGGAATCGCAGCGCGAAAATTCGCCTTATGTATCCGGAGAACATGATACTCGAAGACGTGGCACGACATATTCGGCCGTTGAGCCGTTCTCCTGATACACAGGAAGGTCGAAAAATTTTTAAACCAAATTATCATTTAAACGAGAGCGAATAACTGGTCGAAAATTCGCCCTATGTATCAGGAGAACATGATACTCGAAGAGGTGGCACGACAAAGTCGGCCGTTGAGCCGTTCTCCTGATACACAGGTAAGACGAAAAATTTTAGAACCGAAATATCACTTAAACGAGACCGAATAGCTGGGCGAAAAGTAGCCTTATGTATCAGGACAACATGATACTCGAAGAGGTGGCACGACATAGTCGGCAGTTGAGCCGTTCTCCTGATACACAGGTGAGTCAAAAAATTTTTAAACCAAAATATCATTTGAACGAGAGCGAATAACTGGTCGAAAATTCGCCCTATGTATCAGGAGAACATGATACTCGAAGAGGTGGCACGACAAAGTCGGCCGTTGAGCCGTTCTCCTGATACACAGGCAAGTCGAAAAATTTTTAAACCATAATATCATTTAAACGAGAGCGAATAGCTGGTCGAAAATTTGCCTCATGCATCAGGAGAACATGATACTCGAAGAGGTGGCACGACATAGTCAGCCGTTGAGCCGTTCTCCTGATACACAGGTAAGTCGAAAAATATTTAAACCAAAATATCATTTAAATGAAAGCGAATATCTGGGCGGAAATTCGCCATATGTATCAGGAGAATATGATACTCGAAGAGGTGGCACGACATAGTCGGCCGTTGAGACGTTCTCCTGATACACAGGTAAGACGGAAAATTTTAGAACCAAAATATCACTTAAACGACACCGAATATCTGGGCGAAAATTAGCCATATGTATCAGGAGAACATGATACTCGAAGAGGTGGCACGTCATACTCTGCCGTTGAGGCGTTCTCCTGATACACAGGCAAGCCGAAAAATTTTTAAACCATAATATCATTTAAACGAGAGCGAATAGCTGGTCGTAAATTTGCCTCATGTATCAGGAGAACATGATACTCGAAGAGGTGTCACTATAGTCGGCCGTTGAGCCGTTCTCCTGATACATAGGTAAGTCGAAAGATATTTAAACCAAAATATCATTTAAACGAAAGCGAATATCTGGGCGGAAATTCGCCATATGTATCAGGAGAACATGATACT